TTGCAAAATTTCAACATGGTCCTAAATAATAGACAAACATTTTACGTATTTTTCATATGTACAAAACATACACACCAAGACACTCGAGAAAATAAAAATCGCCATATTAGTTTTTGAAGAATGAAAATCTTAGTACGAATGAATTGAGTGAGTGGAATAATTGTATTCATTCAGGGTGTGTTTGATGGATATTATTGATAAAATAATGTTTTTTAAATAGTAATATGATGGAAAATATGTGGTTAAAAAATAAGGAAAAATTATTGATCTAGTGGAAAATATTATTTTATTGAAAAATGTGTGGTTGAAAATGAGTTTTGAAATAATGTATTTTGAAAGAATGTATATCAAACTAGGGCTCAATCTATGTTTGCAATGTATAATGGGGTTTATATATAGACAAATAAAAAAATGTGTGGTTGAAAATAATGTATTTGAAAATGCAGCTAGAAAAATAGAATAAATTCAGGCTGTACTATAACCAAATTTTAACTATTTTCTTCTAGACTATTCTTATGTTGCGGCTTTGTCATGGAGTCCACATGGTCTGCTTCCTGCCAATGCTACAACTGAGTGATCTTCGAGCTTCAACACATCGAGGATGCATAAAATAAAAGGATAAATGAGCTACTCATACCGAGAATACGATGAAACACTCGAGACACTATCCTATCTTGGAAGTTGTCTTCACTACAGACACATCGTTATTTTATAAGTTGCCCATTTGAAATTCGAATTTAAGCAATCGATTATGAAAATAATAGTGATAATCTATTTATTTAAGGCTCCGTTTGATGCACTATATTTCCATGGAAAATTGAACCATTTTCCAACTTTTGTAACGTTTGATAGGCAAAATTTTCATGGGAATATATTTTCCAACTTTCCAAAATTTCCCCCTTTTTGAGGAAAACAAATTCTTGATATTTTGGTTGGTAAATATTTTTCAGGTTTTTTTTTTTGGCAATTGGAAAAAATTCTAGATACAATAATAAAAAAAAATTATCACTTTTATTGACAATTTTCATGCAAAACAAAGTCAAATGATATAGTAAAAAAAAAAA